TGGTGGTGGTGAGGTTCATTGTAAAGATTCTCACACCCCCCATCCCCGCTCCCCAGTTAAGGCGGCCTCTCGAAAATATCATCCTTAATTCTCTACTCCAGGTTGGCTTTGTGTCGTCCTTGCCTTAGGCAACCGCTTCAGCAGACGGTGTATCCTGCTTCATTTCCAGAAACAAATTCACCGAGGGCGGAGATGTCGAAGAGAACTCCCCCCCTTTCCAGGTGATTATGTGAAGGGTTTTCAAAAAGAGACAGCCGCTTCAAACGTCCGTGTCTACGGAAGATTCTCTGGTGAGTGGGAATAGATATTATTTACCTGTGCGGTATTCCCACGCTTAGTTTCGTCGAACAGGCAACATCGCTTGCGCAGGCTCCGAAACGCTGAATTGTAGACATCTTTCCTGACACGTACCTCCTTGATGTGATAAGTAGTAGGGTTGCCTACACATCCAGGCGACTGTGAACTTTTACCACACCAACGAAGCGACCTAGACTCCCTAAGGGAGATTGCAAGCCGTCTTCGCTGTAGGGTTTGAATTGACGGGAGGGGTTGGTGTTGGGACTGAATGACTAGCGAAGACGCCTGTTCTGGTAGTAAAAAAAGTTTGCACGAGATCACCCTCATGCTCGCAACCTTCCCACACCACCATCATGTGACGGAACTATGTCGAGCTGACTGGTAATGAAATAGCACACAGTGGTCGTTCTGACATTAGTGGCTTCGTCGTACCGGCAAACCGATTGGGAAAACACCCTCAAGGATACCAGGCACGAAACCTTGTCTAGTTCGGCGAGCAAGTCAAAGTGGACGCCGGAGTGTCATCTCTGTGCAGAGCACAGCATCGTGGAGTCACGGCTAGAGTCGGTGTGTGTGCGACGGGGACACGCTGTGGTGTGGCAAGGCGCAAGCACGATCCGGCGTAAGTCCGCGCAACAGGTAGTTCAAGCACGCTAACGCGCCGAATTCTCGATCGCGTGAGCTGAGACTGAGGACGGACAAAGAACCAATGAGCGCGCGCGTGCAAACAGGAGAGGTGAGCCAATCAGATGCATCTCCGACCGGACCAATGGAAATCAAATGCAATCACAGTTTGATATAAAAGTGGAAGAGTGCACTGCCTCAACATACTCGACGCTGCAGCAATTTCCCTTAACTCTCCTGACCGCGTTCTCAATCCCTCTCGTTATCTTGCAATGTACTTCGGCTATGTTCTGTCCATTACAGTCCTCCTTCTCTCGCTCCCTTCGGTTAGTCATGGATCGGTTTCTCGAAGTGAGTTCTTGCCCCATCCATTCCTAAACTTGCAATACTTGCCTTTTTTTCCCCTCCAGTCATTCTCACCTTGGTCATTTTCTTTCTCACGCAGGTCGTTATAAACGGAAGCTACAGTTCTCGCCTCCATGCCCTGAGGAGGGCTACCGCTTCGACAAAGGTGAGGTCTTATGCATACGTGAAGTGTAGACATGCAGTCATTGAGTAAGATTTCTTTGATGTAGTCGTCTTCTGCAGATAGAATCCGAGTATGCGTAGGGCCTGTGTGTGTGTAGGGAAGGATATTAGGTCAGTTTTGAGAGAGAGTCAGGCTGCAATGGCTCCTTTTTAATGTGGCCTTTATGGCATTCCCACCACAATGTGGGATCCGAGCCAGGCGTTGGCGGCACGCCCAGGTGCGGCTTCGGCCGTGCCAGCCTCCAAATCTCTCTTGTGTTGGTTGAAATCCTGGTCTTGGTTTGTGGACCAGGGGTGCGGAGTGGAGCGCCAAGGCGACGATCCGTCCGAGCCATCCACCTGCGGTCTCCCTCGTCTCCGGTCTTCTTGACTCTGTCTTGACACCGGGCCCAGGCGGGGGAGGAGGAGAGAGTGTAGGTAGATGCAGTGCAAGTCTACCGGCACTATAAACCCCTGCGCAAGTCACCGTCCCTGCTCCCACCGCTGCTGCAGCTGTGGGGCAAACGGTGGACATCGTCGAAATCGACGGTCGAACTGTCATTAGGTCAGTTTGATTCTTAGGTGGGAAAAGGAAGAGGGGTTATTACGTTCATGCCCAACTGTGGCCTTAATTGTCCGTCTCCTTTGACTTTCGACAGAAACTGGAAACTTCCTCTGCCTCGTGCCCACTGGCAAGGAGTGCTTCGAATTGTGCCAACAACATCATTGCAATGAGTGGTCAGCCTTCAACTTCATGTACAGCAAGGACACGAAGGTACGTCATCGGCAGGCCTGTCGGTGTGTTCGGCCCTTCAATATGTGTCTCTACAACTACGTTCCTTAATGCGATCCGGCTGGACGGGATGCTCTTGCGATCCCGTGGTGTTGGAGAACCCGAATTTATCCTCCGGAAACACTTTTTTCCCTTGGACTGGCCAAGAGACGGCACAGCGACGTCGGCCTTTCATCAGGGTGGCCCCACAAGTGGAATGGTGAAGCAGTGGAAGGGGAGGACGCCGGACGAGAAGTTGTGTGTATGTTACTAAGGTGAAATCGCTATCGTGACGAACTTTGTATTGCCTTTCCGACTTTCATACCGTTCTATTTCTCGTCCGTTCGTTTTGGCACTTTATGATGTACAGCACGCACTGCCTCCTCTGTCTTGCAGTGTGTGTCTTTCGCATCCGAGCCTTCCCCGGGTTGTGCATATGCCACCCTCTCTCTACTGTTATATGTGTACACAGGTATTAACACGAAGAAGAGATATAATGTGAAAAAACGTGGTTGTCTTTGTTGAGTTTTGCACGTCTCGTGATTGTTTTCATCGGTGTGGTTAACCAGTGTATGCGTAGTTGATGTGGCTAGTTAGGGTGGGCAACAACCGTCTGGAGATGTGGGATCGGTAGTTCTTTTGGCTGGGTGTCGGTTTGATATGCCCGCTAGATGGGTTTCGAGGTATGTTCATATTAGGATTGGTGCACACAGCGTATCAGACGCACAGTCGAATCTTTCGAGAGTCAGCCAGGCGGTGTGCAGCGTTCAGTCCTATTTACCAGCACGGAGTAGTTGTTTGTTAAGTTAAAGAGATGATTTCGATAGGGTCGACCTGGCTCCCGTATGCTGACGAATTGATGTCTTCTGGGCTGGTGGCAGTCCATCAGTAGTGTCCAGTGCTCTTTCAGAGGGCCAAAATCCGTGTCTTTGAGGGTCAGGTCAGACTTCTTAGTCAACCCAGTGGGTATTCGGTTGCAGTGACCAAATAGTGAACTGGGAGTGAGGCTTCAATGCCTCCTTCGTAGTGTGAAGTCGACTATGTCTGCGCTGATTCCTCGATATAAACATTTTGACGCCTCTGGACCCATCACGTTGAGCTGAAAGCCGTTGTTAAGAAGGTTGCCAACAGGCGGGATAACTCGCTCCTCCTCCGCCCAGGACAGAGAATCAGGCTGTGATGGTTCCTTCTTAATATGTGACCTCTGTTGCACTTTCGCTCATCTGGGATCCCAGTCGCCTACCCATTGTGTGAAATTCTCGTTCTTTTTATGTTGCGCAGAGGGTATGGTGGCGCGCCTAGTTGTGGGTCTTCGCCCTGTGAGCCACCTGCGCCCTCTCCCGCCTCCGGTTTTATTCATTCTCTGTCGCCACCGACGTCAGGTGTTGAGGGGAGGGTGAGACAGATGCATCGCAAGTCCACTACCGCTATAAACACATTCAGGTGCCATTCATCGTCTGTCCTCTCATAATACTGTGGAGCATACAGTGAACATTATCGGAAACGATGGCATTCACGGTGCTGACATGTTACCGACCGAGGCGAAAGCATAGTGAGTGGTTTCGCTGCATCCGGGACAGGTGAGCGATGCTGCTTTCTGTGAAACTCCACCACCTAGCACAAAGGTTGCCGTTCCAAATACAGCGGGGGTAGGCTGGTATCAAATGGACGTACTGGAGACAGTATCCCCACCTCCGGCTGTGCTGGGCTATTGGCCTTTAAACAGCCTTATGTGCACTAAGTACTGAAGGTCTGTTTTGGAGGTCTTCCTTTGGGTTCGTGAATGTTTTTGAGAGTGTGGGGGACAGCTGGCATTGTCTGTGAAATACGATGTCGGGGTTTGGAAGGCTACCAGCTGACGGCTAATTCGGCAACCCTCTCAGTACGGAGAGTTGGGCTGCAGTGTCTTCTTAATGCGACATTTATGGCACTCCTGCTGGGCTGGGATCCGAGATGTCCACCTTTTTATTGTTGTGTGAAAGTCTGGTCCTTTTTGCGTGGACCAGGAAGTGCGGTTGACAGGCCTACGCATGCTTTCACGCCGTGCCAGGACACCGGCGCTCTCCGGGCCTCCCTGACTCTGTCTTGGCAATTAGGGGAGGAGGGGAGAGTGCGGTATATACAGTGCAAGCTACTCTCCCTACTCCCACCTTATTGTGAAGTACACGGCGGCAAGGCGTTCGTACAAGTTCTCAGGAAAATGGATTCAATATGAAAGGAGGATTGGAGACTGAAGGGGGGGGGGGTGGGTATCACCCAGGTACAGGAAGAACTCTTTGTAGAACTATCGAAAGATTTAGCAGTGCAGACGATTCCATTCGAAAAACAGCCTGACCTGAATTCGTATTAGTGACTAGCAGGTAGAAGACCGTTTTCCGGCAAACACACTCAAGCATGGTCCAAGCCTTTGTTTAGAAGTTGGCGGTTTGGCTCATTTACGGACGCGTGAACCGACAGTTCGTCCGTCTTTGCCGACGATGTCTACCGTGTGCTCCACATCCAGGTAAGAGCAGGGAAGATGATTTGTGCGTGAATCAGTATATAGTGATATTAGACTTGCACACCACCTGGACCCGGTGTCAAGACAGGGTAAAGAGGACCGGGAACGTGGGGGGCGCAGGTGGATGCCACGGTTCAACCCGCACCCTGACGCTCCACTCCACACCCCCTGGTCTACACGGCAAATGACCAGGATTTCAACCAACAAAATAAAAGGAGGGGGCAGCAGGGGTCGCAGTGTGAGCGACGTCTGCCATCAATCGGGTCTGCCACCGCACCCCAAATGTTCGCATTTGTTATAGTGCGTAAATCCGATAACACCTGCCGAACCCCGATATGGCTCCCGTGTTGGTCCAGCGCACCTACCGCGTTGGCTGTTTGGGGGGCGGGGAGGGGCAATGACGCGTCGGACCAGCTACCATGTCACCAGCATACTTAACGTATAAGCAGTCGTTAGGCGGACTCGAATTATCTTTCCAAAGGGAAAGAAGGGGTAAAATGGTAGCGCTTCATACTTACCCGATAGGACGTAATTTTTCTTATGATGATTATGAACTACGAGATATTTGGGCATTTTTGGATAATACAATGTCACATCTAACAAAACTTTAACAATAAATGGACAACGCACATAGGATATACTACTGATTTCCAGTCGTCTCCGATTGACGTATTGAGTATGGTTCCTTTGATTTCGCTTTCTTGTACATTCGACATAGAATGTGTTCTTTTAGCTACAGGAAACGATTAATAGTGCCGCAGACTTTTTGAAGCAGAAGTCGCATTTATCATGGTATTGAATTTGCACTGGAAGACGGTATACGATAGCCTAAATGATTATCCCTCCCTCCCCCTCCCCTGTAAAGTGGGCGATGTAACGGCAGTCACGTCAGCTTGACTGAAAAGAAAACACGCAAGTATACGAATCTTCCCTAAAGGGGACTCAATATCGAAGGAGGCAGAGGGTATCACCCAGGTGACGAAAAATAGAGGATTCTTTGGTAGAAATGTCGAAAGATTCGACAGTGGAGGTATGATTGCATTCGAATGACACCCCGACCTGATTTCCGACTAGCGACTTGTAAGCAAAAGACCGTATTTTGACAAACACACCCAGGCGTGGTCCAGCCTTACTTACGAAGTAGGAGATCAGCTCATTCTCGAACCTGACGACCAACTATCATGTGTGATCTCGGACTATCAAATAAAAGTGAAGAGACCATAGGGGATAAAATGGAGCCCTGAAGCATTTCATAGTTGCCCGAAAGAGAGCGTAATTTCACCCATGATAGGTATAGAATGCTGAAGGTGTGGACATTTCTTGCAGAATGCAAGGTTAAACCTAACAAACCGCCAGTTCGACTGTTGCTGTCGACGATGTCCACCATGTGCTTCACGGCGAGGTGAAGCCGGCACGGTGACTTGTGTTTGAATTATTTTATACTGATAGTGCAGTTGCGGAAAAAGCAGCTACGTCGGAGAAACCGGAAGACAACTCCAAACTCGAACGGCCGGATACGCTGCGGCGGTGCGGAGAAATGACGTCAGCTCTCAAGTTGCGCATTGAAATTCGACGAGATCCGGCCGCACATTCAAACTCGATGAGGCCGAAAATCTTGTTAGAAGTGACAATCGCGTGAGCTGAGAGCTGCTTGAGTCATGGTTCACTGGCCCCCAGTCCATTAACAAGTACAATCACCTTCCCTTTCCATACTCAGTGCCGGGACTTCTCCTAGCGGGATTAATTAACCACGTGAGGAGCGCAAAGGTGAAAAATTTTCCCAACACCAGGGTCGGCGCGTCAGATGTTCGAGCAATCATCACATCAACATCCAACGCAAGTGATGTGATTGCAGCAATCAACGACGCAAATTTCGACCATCACACCACGTGCAACGATCCCGGAGGAAGGGGGAGTCGTGAATATTCAAAGGTATGTGGTAGCATGGCGACTGTATTCTATAAATACTGCAGCCCTTTGTGCATGAAACACCCCTATCTGCTTTTGTTTCCGATGATGGAATTGAGCAGGAATCCTAAACGTCAGGTTAATAAAGCTCTTGTCCCAGCGATCTTGTCTCCTTATTCAAGTGTTAATAGACTTTCGCAGCATTCACCGCACTCTCTCCTCCTCCAACATCACCTGGACCCGGTGTCAAAACAAGTCAAGAAGACCGGAGGCGGGGGAGGACGCAGGTGGATGGAATCGCTGAGCCTGAACCCTGACGCTCCACTCCACACCCCCTGGTCCACACAGCAAATGACCAGGATTTCAACCAACAAAATGAAAGGATTATAGACGACAGGAGTCCCAATATGCGCCTAGGTCTGCCACCGCACCCCGAATTGTTGGTATTTCTTATGGTGCGCATATCCGATAACGCCTGCCAGAATCCGGTTGGGCTTCCGTGTTTTGCTCCAGCGCATCT